TTCGACAGAAGTCCCTGTGATTTTAGGAAAAGTGAATGAATTTCTTTTGATCTCCTTTCTGTAAAATCACAGCAAATAATGGATATGCAGATGATTTATAAATTTACAATGAATGCAAAGTATTTAGAAAGAAATGGAATTTGAGATGGCAAATCAGTTACATTCAGCAAATTAATTTCCCCCATTTACTACCTTGTTATATATGATATAATCCACAACAATGGTCTTTCCGGCCTTTTTGGTTTCTGCTGCTTTTCTGTTGTTTTCTCCTTTCTTCATCTGCCCTTCTCATGGGATCACTCAAGATATCTTGGCTACCATATGCTCCCAAACTCAGAATCAGGAATACTGCATAGGGCTATTACAGAGTGATCCGCGCACAAGCTCTGCAGGCATATCCTTACTCTCACTGATATCCCTAGAGCTGGCAATCCATCAGGCTCATGAAAATTACCAGACTTTCGTGCAATACAAAAAAAACAGCACTTGGAAGGGGTCGAGTGATTCTTTTGGAAACTGTGGAACGTCTTACCAAGATATGAAGGACAAACTCCAATCAGATCATCAGTTGTCACAGCAGAAGCAGTTTGAGAAGATCACTAACCTGGGTGGAGTAACTACTCTTGCTTACAACTGTGATAACGGGTTGCCTTTTAGCCCCCCAACAGCTTCCATCACTGAGGATATGCTTCTTACCCTCCAGACTGCAATTTATGTCAATGAATATATTCAATCAACTCTAGGGCCCAATGTTTAATCTACTGTTTTTTAAAGTTTTAAAAATGAATCCTGGGTTTGTTTCTTGTTTGTTAGCTACTTATGTTCAAATCTGATGCCTTTAGAAACTTATGTTCAAATCTGATTTCTCTAAGTTTCCAACAGAAAGATGCACCATTGCCATATGACTAAGAAAACTAGAAGCAACTAGTGGGAAGTCAGACTGAAATGTGCTATATAAATTGGCTCTGATGTAAAGCGTTTGTAGTCATCAATTCTTCTCAAATGTTATGTCCAAAACAAGTACCAGTTGTGGTATTCTCTGACAAAATGTACTCTAATGAATATGTTGAACGTGTATAGATTGTGGTATTGTCAGACAAATCAATTTCATATCCTAATGAATGTCCTAAAATGAATGGGGAAAAAAAATCTTGGAACATGATTACCAAAGTGCAGTACAGATGTTAGTTTGGTCTTTGCCTATGTCTTGGGCTTCTTCAATTTTCTTGCACTTTTCTTCAGACCAGCTACATTTCTCATGTTTCCTTCATCTGCATCATCAGGTTTTGGATTTGAGGACTTCTTCGCA